CTCACTTAGGTGCACATTGCTCTCCCAATGGCTCCCCATGCATGTATGGGCTCTGCAACCACAAGTAAGTGCAACAGATATTTGCTGCATCGACCGACCTCTTGTAGATTTGTTTGCATCAGCGGACAACCACCAACTATACCAGTGTTCTGCACCATGCAGATATCCCGATCCACAAGCTGAGTCACAGACGATCTATCAATGTTAAGGATATAGGGACGTTTGTCTATATAGTGCCCACCCACGCATTCCCTCCAATATTCCTGATCCTCTGGATCCTAACAAAAATGGAACGTCCTATTGCAAGATAATTTGATATCTTGGTCCATTATTGTCTGCGCTGCCCAATCTTGTGCTCAAGCCAGTAATGTTCTCAGTCAAGATATATATGTTATGAACTGGGGTGATAACTGGCTGGCCACCTCCAGAAGCGTAGCAAGAAATTGTTCATGCCGGGGGTGACGTAATCCACAAATTTCCCCCGAAATTTCAATATGCCGAACGGTTTCAACCACGTCCACGCACAGTGTGCCACGCGCAAGGTTAAGGGGGGACTGTGTGCAGAGAGCACATTCAGTGCGTTGATCACTGCACGGCTAACACCCCCTGTCTTCACCTCAATCCTCCCCTTTTTTGGTGAGGGGGCCGGACTTCAAACACCCCCCCCCCTCCTCATTGCTACATCACTGGTCACCTCAAACTAAGAGAAAATTATTTTGCTCTCTGTGTCAAGGTCAAGCCTTCGCCTAATCTTCCAGATATGTCACTGAATTCTACGCCTCTGCTGCAGGAAATTATAAACATCCGGCAACATGGACTTGACATCACTAGTAAACTCTCCAGTGACAGTTAAGTACATTAAGTGGTATTGCTGAAAGGGCCTCTAGTTGCTTGTACCATGCACAGAATACTACCTCCTGCGATTCTGTACTAGTCCACTATTCAGTCTATTCTGTAAAGGCCTATGGAATACTGTTGCCATATCAAGGAACTGAGGTGCCCCTGCTTGTCATCTGCTTGACTATCAGGGGCGCGCGAAGCTTGTACGAGTTAGCTGCCTCTAGCTCTCTGGAACCTCTCTCATCATTGCCTCACTGTGCTTGTTTACATTTACTATCATGGCATGTGCTCAATATTCCTCCTGACCGTCCCCTTGGGCGCACTACACGCTTTTCCATCCATTCACCTATACATGTATCATTTCTCAAAGCAAGTTCTATGAGGTATTCACCCAGTCATGCACTGCCTTACTCTAGAACTCGGCCTTACTTGATCTATCCTGTTTTCCTGTACAATTTGTCCCAGTTCAAGAGTAACGTCGATACTTATACCTACACTTGAAATAGCTTCCCTTTTCCACCCCTTCTTAATTGTGTAAACATCACACTTAAAACAAAATGTGCCAGTAATAATTCTTCCCCTCGACCGGACATTGGGTTTACAACAACCGGTGTGGACGGTAATTCTGTCCCCCGGTAAAAGTGTCCGGGGGGACAGAATTACCTAGGTAAAAGTGTCCCCCCTGTCCCGTTAATTCTGTCCCCCTCCAGGTAATTCTGTCCCCTCCAGTTAATTCTGTCCCCCCTGGTTTTGCACGCATAAGTTGTTATATTGATGTTATTATAATGAATTCAGCGCACAGGGTATACATTTTTAGATTTTCCACCCTTCATCAATGATTATCAAAATGAAATTAACGTTTAGATGTTAATCAACCGATCTATGTTTCTGCAAGAAAGCAGAAAAGGCACGCGTAGTAATACTCAACCTATCGCTAGCGCGCGCACGCCCTCCCGTAGGTGCGGTACACTCCCCCGCAAGCCCACCATGCAAATCGCTCGCTCCCGAAGTCGTCATCAAAACGGGAGTTGTGCTTTGCCGTAAGCACCATTCCCGAATTTAGCAAGGCGCCGCGCAAAAACAGTTAATAACTTTACTAATATACAGTCTGGGTGCTAGACTTGTGACGTTGCACGGGGACACATTTACCAGGGGGGACACATTTAACGTCGTGCAGGGGGACAGATTTACCTAGAGGGGGACAGGTTTACCTAGGTAAAAGTGTCCCCCCGGACAGATTTACCGGATCACGACCCGGTAAATCTGTCCGGGGGGACACTTTTACCAGAGGGGACAGAATTACCTGCCACACCGGCTCAGTCCAGACCTGTGATTTCCCGCATCGCTTTGTGTGCTTGTGACCTTCTACTAAAGTTTCCTACCGCTTCAACGACAAGGCCTGGTTCTCAACAGAATGTAGGGCTGCCAACCGGAGACGCCAAACAAGCGGCGTATCATATGTCGTTGATCACGTCAATGTTCCAGAAAGTCTTGGGATAAATACATTCACGCAAGATCTTTTGCTGAGAAAACGTTGGCGTACCGCGAAGCTGAGAAAGAATATGTTATAGCTCGGTTCGCAAAAAAAACACGTGAAATTCTTCTGGTTAGCTCGGTTCGCAAAAAAGTGGAATTCTTCTGATCCACACAAGTTGTGGTCCACGTTGAAGTCAGCCGTCTTTGGTTCGTGTCCTCCCTTGCTTTTCTCTTTCTCCCTTTTGCTTTCTGATGGTGGCAGCTTGTAACGAATCCGAAGAGCAAGGTTGATTTTCTGATGACACACTTTGACTCTAAGCTCAGCCGAAAACAATTACAGCTTGATGAGGATCGATGTTCATGCGGCCAACGTTGGCCAACGTTGCCTTGGTCCAGAGAAGTGGAAAAGCTGCTGTACGCACTTGATCCACATGGTGGGACTGATCATATTGGGATGTTTCCGTTGTTTCTCAAAGAAACCTCCAGAGTGCTGGCCCCCGCCAAGCCGAGTGCTGTTTGATCTGGCGATCTGGCTCTTTCCCAGTGTGTTGGAGGGTCGCTAACATCACTCCAATCCCCAAAGGGTCTTCTTCACTGAACGTCTCCAACTATCGACCGATTTTAATCACACCAATACTTTCCAAAAGTTTTAAGCACCTGGTATATTCTCGTCTCTCCCGTTTTCAGGAACGGTCTAGTTTGTTGTCATCCAATCAGTTTGCTCATCGCAAGAATCACGGTACAAAATAATTAACGCACAGACGCACTCCTCACGATCTCTCACGAAATTCAGTTGACGCTTGATCGTGGTCACGAGGCGCAGGTTGTCCAACTGGATCTGTCGGCTGCCTTTGATCGGGTTAATCATGACGGCTTTACGGAGTGTCGGGGTCGGCGGATCAGTACGTGTTGTCGGTCTTGACCATAGAGCTATATTAAATTCGGAGAGCACGGACCCATCGGACATGTATGTAGGCCTATGCGTCAATGGCAGTGACTGGCATAACGTCCATTCATCAGGAGTTCCTCGGGGAAGTGTTCGTGTTCAACATCTCATGATCTGTTCCAGATCACGGAGAATTCGCTATAGACGCTGACGATGCAGCGATAGTTGATTCACCGCAGTCGCGTCGTGCCGTCTGTGAATCGTTAAATGATGATCTTTGTCCCATATCTAGATGGTGCGACAAGTGGAACATGAAACGGTGAACACATAGAAGTCGAGTTGCTTGTGCATCTCCCGATCCCGCAGCCTTCATCTACCGCACGGCGACCTACTTCTTGACGGTTCAACCCTGAATGGTTACGATGAACTTATAACATCTTGGGAGTCAAGGTTGATGGGAAAGTTAACCCTTCGAGCGTCACATCTGATCTGTTGTTAGTTCCGCTTCTCACAAACTTGGGATAATGAGGAAGGCTAAAGATACGATATTCAACGACGTGTCCATCTATGCAAGCTGTTTTCGCTGACTCATCCTTTCACTTCTTGAGTACTGCGCTCCAGTTTCATCCACTGCATGCTGCATCTCACCTTTGTCCATTGGCAGAGTCTTCCATACTGCTCGATTTCTTCGTGGCGGTAAAGTTTTGTGTGATTTGAGTCATCGACGTAATGTGTGTACATGCTGTACAAGATACGGTCCAATCCGCTTCATCCACTGTACGATTGCATCCCTGGCCCTGAGCTGTATGTGCTGGCAAGAAGTACTTGACTTGCATCGTCTCTGCATGTCGCACCAGTCAGTTCCAGCCTAGGGCTGTTCCTTGCCCAGTGCTGTGGCATCTAAGGAATTCTTTAGATGGTGATGCATGTGCAACACTATTTTGTAGACATACGTTCAAATCAATGGCCATAGTAGTATTTAAATTATATCTATTGTTCATGTTTATTGTTTACTATTTTAATCATTTACTTGTTACATCGTTTTGTTTTTAATTGCTAGTCTGTGGATTATTTCATGTTTCCTTCTTCGACGCTTCAGGTGTGTGGGCGTTGCTGAGAAGCAACTTATTAAAGTGCTTGCACTTTTCCCACTCGACCTGATTCGTCTTGTTTACTGAGATAAAAATCCTCCCGACGCCCAAGCCCGGCCCGCGCCCGTGATGGGCAAGCCATTTCCTTTGTCAATCACTGCGTAAGGTCGATCAAGTTGGTGGCATCATCGGTGTTTATGAAAACTACGTTGTCATCAGCAAACATTGCCGACATATGGAAGTCTTCATAAACGGTATAGGATGCTACAGCTAGGTCATTAACGAAGGCCAAAACAGGAGTCCGCCGCGGCCAAGGACGGTACACCCTAGCTGAGGTGTGCCGATGATGGACTCGGGAGGCGCGGAGATGGGGAACTGATCCAATTCTTCGAAGACGTCAACTTAATGTTAAAGGGGTCAGTTATGAAGACACAAGTTGTGAGCAATATTAATGTCATCAGTGGTGATGATGATAAATGAGCTGGCATTCACATGAACGGGTCTTACGAAAATTATGACAATGGAAGTTGATGGGAACCCATGATATGCAGACAACGCCCGATAGGTGGAAAATCATGCGTACAGCCTGCGCCTGGTCACGACCATTGATCTCCGTCTGTGCTGTCACGACGCCCTCTCCCGGACGGACGGACCTTTTTTAAAGCTAATTGTGGTCTTAAACCCAGACTACTCACATGTCATTTCACGTACTCTTTAGATAATGACGATGGGTACCAGTTCAACCAATCGTGAGAAAAGTTTGTTTAGCCGGGCGCGGGAGTGTCATCAGTGAAAACGGTATGAATTCACGCTATTTTCAATTTCAGTTTGTTTTGTGACCAGTTAACTAAAAAATGGGAAAGAAGGTAGTGTCTAGACGCCGTTTCAGCGGTTGTATACATAGTCTATCATAAATGGTGGGTCAAGCAAATTTTCTAAGTCGGCTAGGCAATTTCCTAACAAAATTGGAAACATTTTTTTAATTTTGTCCCAGATTCATGTGTTATCAACATTTTTACAATGACCAGGGAATGATCCAGGATTTTTTTCAGGGGGAGGGGGGTGGGGTTTGAGTCATCAGCAAGTCAAGACAGTGCTGAAAGGTAGACAGGGTTTTTTCTCCGGACACTTGGCCTCTGTAAAATCAATACTGGGGGGGGGGGGGGGGTGAGGGGGGCTCATACTTTCAATGTTGCCGCTGTTCAAATCCAACGCTCATTAAAACCTTTTTTGGGGTGTTTTGGGGTTTTTTTGGGGGGGGGGGTGTCACAGCAGGGGGGGGGGGTTTCACATTATTTTTGTAATGTATTTCTATGAACAAAAATTTGGAGTCGGAGCTGGGGGGGGGGGGGGGTTCGATCTAGACCCGTGAAGGCCCGGCCCCTAGTTAGGCTGTTGCCTTAATAATCAGTACATGTATGTACAATACACACGTATAGTGTACGTGTATAAAGCTGTGAACAGTTTCTAGTTTCAAATAAAAGCTTAGGCCTACTATTGAATGTTTGTGTACATAGTTCTGAATGGAATACATGTAGTGCACACTTGGGACTTTGACCCCTTAGGCCAAAAAAATAATAGTTCTGCTTCCGGTTACCCTACCTACCCTATTTTGACAGCCCCTACCCTAATTTTTTTTTTTATGGGAAAAATGAGGGGGGAAAAACCCAGAAATCATCAATTACCACCGAACCTTTTACCCTTGACTACACGCAGACACCTCCATATGATCATACACAAAAACAATTGCCCCCAAAAAATGATTTCCTACCTACCTACCCTATTTTCAAATACCATGTAATCGGAAGCAGAACTTTTTTTTTTTTTGCCTTGGCTGGCAAATGAAGGTTTCTGAATGCATTGTTATTTTACATGTAATGCATGGTTTGCCTGATTTGAATGTACTCGAGGTCGGGATTTTTCCCTTTCACTAAGCAAGTGGTGTTTTACACAAAGGAAAATAAACTGGAGGTGGTTAAGCTTTGAACTACAGTACTAGTTCACCATTGAGTGTGTGCAGTGACCATAACAAAGTCAGGAGGCTTTCTGCAATGCTGTAAAAAAAACCAGTGAAGTTAAAGGTAGATTCACCACTCGAAAGTTACTTTCTGTTTTTCTGCAGGTCCTCTGGGTCATGTCGAAACGATTTTGATTGAGAACATTGGATCTCCTCTACTCTCATGTCCAGATACATGTAAGCAGGTAAATAAGCAAATGTTATTTAGACCGTAGAGCAATATCTGTGTGTCTTTAGACTACCTTTTTTTTTTTAATTCAGAACTTCTTGTTTGTATTTCTTTTAACGTCTGGTCCTGAAATGGTTTCTCAACAGTGACCTTTGCACGGTAGTTACACGTGTATGTGTTGCAAGTCTGAAAAAGTTGTGAGGAGAAGATGGGGTTTTTTTAGTGGTCGGGCACAACCCGACCACTCTTTGGATCTGTTAGGATTAATCTTTCTTTCTTTGAGTGGTCAGGCACAACCCGACCACTCTCTGTTATTGTTCTGATAAATCTTTATTTTTTTTCCGGACAATACTTCTCCGCGGCTTTTCTCCTAAAAGGTTCATGGTATGAACTTGTAACTTTCAATATCGACCCTCATCTGAAGTGGTGCATATTTTTCTGACGTCATAATTACGTCATCGGGTGTCAAATTACAAGCGATTGTAGCTGAAAAAGTGACCAATTACTTTCACCTTTAACTCGTGAACGAAATAATCATTAGTGTGTGTAATCTGTAATCAGATGGACCATGAATTGATAACATTTTTTGTCGTGTACGTGAATTCGCTTGACCTTTACTTCCGGGTTTACCGGAAGGTCAAAGTTAGGTGAATTCAAAATGAAGACTTTAGCCTGAAAATCAAAACAAGCAGAAATTCTTCCAAACGGTTTACGGTATGATCCAGAAACCTAGTGTGAACTTGTACCATGTTGCAGAGATATTATATCTTTTGTTACATCATCATGACGTTATCAGGTATCAAATTATAAGTGATTTAAGGGCAAATTTTGACAAAATAGTTTGCGCCATATCTTTTGAACTAAATAGAGTCTTGTGTTCGTTTTTTCGTGATGTTGTAGACTATGCCGTGAGAAACATTTCTTGTCCCCGGACACAAAACCGCTTGACCTTCACTTCCGGTGTTACCGGAAGTGCAATGAAAACCGAATATAATTCAAAACCGGATGCATTTTACTACACACATATAAATTATGATAGTGTTTAGTGAGGAATGCCAGACACAAAAACCAGTGTGATGACGTCATTTTTTGAAAGGGCGCCCCCTAGAGGCACATAAAACAGTGTTTGCTTGCTTTAATTTAAAAACCATCGGTTCAAATTTTACCAAATCGCCCTTTGATATTCTTTGATTAACCACAGAGAACTTGGCAAGGTTTCAAATTCATGACGTCATCAGACCGGAAGTTACTTCTATGAGAATTTGCTAACGATCATATTTTAAATTTAATTCTATCATTTGATCCATGTCGTATATCTTAGCCCAAATAACGATACCATTACAATATTCACCTTTGCTTCCAAATAATGTGACGTCATCAAACTGGAAGTTCGGTGTTATGAATATACACACTTATATTTTCCAAATTTTCATACGTTATTTAACTTTCCAATGAACATCCACTCCGAACTAAATCAGTATGCACTTTCCGTTTTTGACTAATGACGTTATCAAGCCAGAAATAACTTGTATGTGTACATAGAATGTTTACTGAAATTTATCACACCGTTAAAGATGCATTTTGTAAACAAAATAATTGATTTTCCTGAAAAGGAATTAATTTTGTGATCCTTTGCTCTTACACAAAAAATTTCATGACTTAACTGGACAGTGTTTCATAAAATAGTTTTCTACCCGACCTCTCTCCGTTTGTAACAACAAATGCGAATCTCTACTTTCTTTTCTTTTCTTTTTCCCGTACAATACTTCTCCGCAGCTTTTCTCCTAAACAGTGTATGATATGAACTTGTAACTTTCAATATATATCGACCCTCATCCCGAGTGGTGCATATTACCCTGACGTCATGATGACGTCATCTGGTATCAAAGTACAAGCGACTTCCGTTGAAAAAAATGACCATCTTCTTTCACCTATAACTCTTAAACAAAACGATCAATCATGTTCGCACCTTGTAATCAGATAGACCATTAACTGATAAACATTTTAATATTTTTTTAAAGTCAAAGTCGTTTGATCTTTCCTTCCAGGGCTGCCGGAAGGCCAAAGTTAGGTGAATTCAAAATATAGAAATTAGCCTCAAATAAATGGAAAACAAGATTTCTGTCCATAACCGATTGAAATCGCGCCTCACCAGTTTTCCTCTCATATCTGAATGCTGAAAATTAATATTTCCACAGCGTGTAGCCACAAACTTTTCTGTCGTAAAGTCAGTGCAGAATTTTATTATGCCCATGCAAAAGAAAAAACAAACATAAAAGCCATTTTATGACATGATTAGCATCTGTTGCATAAACTCCAACGACGTTAGAGGCTCCGTCAAGTCTACCGTTGTCATAAATTCAGTGCGGAATTTTATTATACCCATGCAAAAGCCCAACAACAAAAAACAATATAAAAGCCATTTTATCTTAAAATTAGCATAATTATGTTTCATAAACTTTAACGACGTGAGACGCTCTGTCAATTCTACCAATGTCGTAACCTTAGTGCAGAATTTTATTATGCCCATGCAAAAGACAAAAACAAAACAAAACAAAAAAGCCATTTTATTTTAAGATTAGCATAATTCTGTTGCATAAACTCTAACGACATTAGAGGCTTCGTTAACTCTACCAATAGTCCCAACTGGTGGTATGCCTGAGTAGCCATCCATGCAGCACCAGATGTGCGCTTCCTGATAGGCCTACAAGTCTTGTCGAGGTAAAGCAACAAGTTCAACTGCAGGTTGTGTGATTTTCTTTGTGAAAAACACAGGGTAATGGGTGCAGGGTAATGGGAGGGGTAATGTGCAGTTCAATTATGATTAAGTCACTGTAAACACAAAAAAATATGCCAGCCCGACCACTCTGCGTTTGTAACTCAACAAACACAAACCTCTAGTTTTATACGTGCCTATAATATTTGTCAACCTTATCAGGGATCTGAACCTAGGTCAAGGTGTTATTAAGCCTCTGGGATGCTTTGTAAATGGGTGTACATATTGACATTATGGTGGAATTCAACTTCAGGAATTTGCCTCAAAATCAACCCAAACAGTTTGATGTCAGAATTAATTTCGGAACCGATGGACGACGACACTTTAACTAAAGAACTGAGTGATTGCCAGAGTCATAGTTTACAAGAAATTGAATTACTGTGTCTGTAACCAATCCTTTAATACTGCAAAATAGCTTCTTTTATTTTAAAAAAAACTTCTGAATTGTTTATTGTCATATGCAGAATATATTTTTTTGATAATTTCGTTCAGAATACCGGTACATTGAAATGTGTCCATCTTAAAAGATTAAATTGATCATTGTGAGTTCATCCATTTGACGAAGGGGCAATGTTCAACATCTTTCTCTGCTGACTTGTGTTCTGCATTTCCTGTTTAGTGTTGACAATCCAATAGTAATTGCCTTTTGTTTGATGTTATATTACATCCCACAGTGTTGATGGAAATTACAGCTACCGGTAGTGTATGTGTAAAATGACCTCTGTTGATATAATTCGAGGATATTGGCAACATCTGCACAAGGTACCCTTTAATAAAAAGAGATAGAAATGAATGCAAAACCATGAAGACCTGTTTGTAACAGCTGTTGCGTGGGTACTAGCTAGATTGTCATTGTGTCAAGTTACAGGGTTTTTTGTTTATGAATGCAGAAAGCCATGAAATTTTACACTATTGTACATGTAGCTGCTTGCACAAAAACAATACGTTGAAACATAATTGCACAAACAAATATTATGGCTTTTCTGCATAATTGCAGAAAAGCGTTAATCGATAGGTACTCTTTTTGCTAATGCAAATGTTCCTACATGCATTTAAGGATACTCTTTGACTCTTGACAGTTGATTAAGATGTACACATAGGTTATATTAGCTTGAAGCCTTTAATATGAAATATTTGAATGACAGATCACTATTAAAGCACTTTGAACCAGTACAAAAATGTATCGAATATTAATCCCCCTACTTTGACATGTTGCTTAAAAGGGGGGGGGGGGGGCAAAACGGAAACGCCTGTTACCAATAATATTGTCTTTACATTGTATTGTAAAAGTATAGATTGCGAACACAGAATTTGTGTTTTTACCACCAAAATGACGATTTGGGCATCGTTTGAATCAAGGTGCTTCCATAAATCCCCTAGATTTTAAGCCACGCCCACCAAATGAGTGACAGTAACAAGTGGTTTAACGTTAAAATGTTTTTATTTCATATGCTACGCCTATTTGAAGCATATAGACCTAAAGAGCAATTGCAGCACATAATACAGTTTTCTGGATTTTGTGCACCCCTTTTCAAATAAAGCTCATCCCCACAGTGGGCAAATTCCAAAGTGGATCCCTCTCGTAAACATATGTTCAGCCCATTTTAAGTTCAAACAGGCCTGCCAATTTTAATGGTTTTGCCACAAAAATGCACATTATTTGTCACAATCGGATCAAACCACTCGTATACACCTGCACCCCTTTACACATTTAGGCCACGCCCACAAATTGGGCGGAAAATATGACTTTTAAAATGCTAGAATGTTTTATGTCATCATGTCCAAATTTATTTCAAGGCATGGAAAAAGAAGGAAAATGAATGTTTAATACACTTCTTCTGAGTTTTTATTCCTTTCACCCCCTTTTAAAAAAAAATCAAGCACCGCCCCCAAATCGGCAGGTTTCAAGGTGGGTCCACCTCTTAAAATGATTCTCAGACTGTTTTGGATCTGCATGCCATATTTCATGCTCTTATCACAAATTTGGGCACGGTTTGGGCAAAAATAATGGGCCTAAGGAGCTCCACTATTGACCAGGATACCCAGTATACATACATATGTACGTGTACATTTGTATACAATCTTTAAATCATTCTTAAGTAACTTTATCCGACTTTTTTCCGTTCTTAAGTAGCATTTTTGGTATCAGGGGGTCAATCTCAACACTTAAGTCCAAAAATGTTAATTAAACTCGAAATTTTGGACAATTGACCATGGTCCCCTGACCCCCATCCGACCTAGGGCAACTTAAGAATGGCCATTTCGGAACTATGTACCCCCCGACGGGCAATCGATTGGTACCATCAAACCTTATGTGCTCAAATTGTTAATTAAACTCAACCTAGCTCCTTGTCTAATGTGCTGTTGCAGTGCGTGTAGTCGTGGTGGGTAAACCTGACAAACGTCACATGTAGACCTAGGTCAACATGGTTGTCATCTGGTACTGGGAGCGGGACTGGGTGTCGGGTAGAAACATCTCTTTTCCAGGACAATATAACCTTGACTTCATAGGGTTGGAGGCGAAGCATCATACATGTACATATGTACCGTACGCTGAAGTCTTGGAGGGGCTAACTTGAGTGATTTTTGCTTGATCGTCTATGGTGAAACTGCTGCCATATACTTACATTGTGGTGTGGAAACGCTCACATCCAAAGACTACAGCAAGGAGCTCATGCTCTGTACATGCACAATGTAGGCCTATATTATTGTATTGCTGTTCTGTCGTGCATACGGATTTCGATGCAAAGGTGACTGGCCTTGCCTCTGCTTAATGCATATACGGGTACTTTGTTATGGTTTCTTTCGAGGGGTCGAATTAGGTTAGGATCATCTAAGTACATATGAGATCTTTGCCCTTCTGAAATGCCATCTGGTGTGAAGGAGACCAGGCAAAGTCAACGACTCTCTTCAGTATAGCCCTCTGAGGTCTGCTGTGTGCTCAGACAGGTGCAGGATGAAGGGACTAAGGTAAATCACCATGCCAAGAAATTCTTGGAGTGCTGTCCTCTTTTGAGGGGGCTCATTTCTTCTTGATGGCTGCAACATTGTCAGGGTCAGGATACCGTACATGCCATGCTTGTCGGCATTGTACCGGTATGTAGATCATGCAAAGAACGTGATGTTCGGAGTGTCGATTACTTTGTACTGATGAACATCAAACCATACTGGTCGGGTGCCTTCATCAGGTGATGAAGATTGAGATCGTGCTCGTTTTTTGCACTAAAGACCACAATGTCCTCTGTGATGCAAATGGTGCCTGGGTACCGGTATGTCTCGAGAAATTGGTCCATCCTCATCTGGAACACATCTTGGCTCATCACAAGCCCAAAACATACATGTAGTGTCAGGTAACCACATCACCCAAAGGGACTGTTGAAAGTCGTGGGTAATGAACTGTCATCATCAAGTTGCACTGACCCAGTAGTCACTCTTCGCATCTAACTTGCAGAAGAACTGGGCACTCAAGAAAATGTAGGTAATTTCTTCTATAGTGGGGTTCTGGTAAGGCATCTTTTGATCGCGCTATTCATGCGCTTGGGATCAGGGCAAATTCTGAGTTTGCCATTTTCACACCTGGAGACTGTAAGGATGCTCACCCAGTCAGTTGGCTTCTGATTACACCTTGTTGCTCCATGTTGTTTATTCTAGCTGCCTTTAGCTTTATGGGGCATCAACAAGGGGCACAGATAGTGGGTTGTACTCCATCTTTGAGAAGCGATGTGGTACAAGTGTGTATGTGCCTGGAAAGTTGCCAATTCTGTCAAACTGGTCAGGATACTGCCGCTGTACCGGTAGCTCCTCTGTTGAGTTGATAGGGGACACTTTGGTTTAGTGATTGCACAGTGTAGGGTCACGAGCTTAAGTTGTCGTGATGTGGGCAGTCCGAGTATTTCTGGGCCTGTGGACTCTACGATGAAGAATTCCGTCTTTTACTCCATCCACTCTGTTCATGCTGGCAGGTAAGTGTTGTTGATCCATTCTGGTTGATTTTTGTGTCTTTGTAGGCGCGTAGTATGGTGTGCTGGTTGGACACAGACTCTGACTTTGGGAAACCATCAGCAGTGAGTCTGTCTGGATACATGCAATGGTGCATGCGAAGGTACATGCGAAGAGGCAAGGTGTTGCCTCGAGCTGTTGCCTCGAGCACTAGTGTCAACTTTTACCTGCAGCTTGAAAAGCATTTTTGGGGTCTCGCTTCAATTCAATACAGGTTTAGGCCTCATCGCGCGTGTCAGAGTCACGATGATCTGGGGTGTTTCGGATGTCAGACATGGCAATTGGACTTATGACTACATCCTCAAACTTGTCCCCAAGGTCACTCTCAGGATTTGGATTGGATATTGAGTTGTCATCAGGGCTGGATTTTGTCCTTTGTCTGGAACTGGAGCAAGCCTGTCTGCATTGAGTTGATCTAGCGCATGCTCGGGATTTGGGACAGCCACGTTGATTTCTGTCACTTGAACCAGATATGCAGACAACTTACAAGTGATTCTTCTTGCCTCATTTGTGACACGTACCGGTACAGTAGGGTTATACGCTGGACAGTACTCTCACTGCCTGAAGGGGTGTGTGCCTCCGTGCTTAATTCATGGACAAACAATCTTGGCCCGCCTCTGATACAACACATTTCACACGTTAGTTTTATCTATTCTTAGTCATTTTGATGAATATCTTCATTTATCCCTACTAACTCTTTCTTTGTGATATTTCAATATGTACAGGGTTACATAGCTTTGTTAATAGCATCATCTTTAAAGTCACTCTTCACAAATTTCTTCATTAATGCCATCATTACTGTCTTGAACTCTTCATTATTTATTCATTAAAACTGCCAGGATTAGCAGTCTGATGAGCTCTTTCTTCAGTCATTATAGTTTCATTATTAACACTATTGTCTTTATCATATTCAGTCATTCTGCCAGCATTAGCAGCCTGATGAGTCCTGCTTTTGGTAAGTCTGCCAGGATTTAGCAGACTGGTGAGCCCCACTTCCATTAATTCTGCCAGGATTAGTGTCCTTGTGAGCCCCCACATTCGTTTGAACTCCCAAGTAGACAATTGCTTGGTCAAGATGAGAAACAGAGGGAGATGGACTGTGCGATGGTGAAGGAAGGGCAGACACAGCTGGGATGGAATGAGATGGTGGCATGGTTGATTGGGAAATGGAATGCATATTGACAGACAATGGAGGTGTGGAGTCCTTCGTCTTCTCTGCTTCTCTCGGTCTCCTCTTCTCTGCCGCATGGCTTCTCTCTTCACCCTCCGCTTCACTTTGTTGTTGTTCAGCATTTTGTCTGTATGACACAAACACATGCCGGTACTTGTTTTGTAGTTGTGGGGACTACTCACAAGTTGTCCAATGGTACTGTGGGACCGAAGATGGGGACAGCAAAAAGTCCCCATAACTCTGTCCGAATTTGCCTGACAATACAAAACTTCTCCATAACACGGTGACGGCCCGCCCACGGTGACCTACCATCCATACCTACTGTCAACATTTCCTTTGTATTCGTGTAGTTAAGAAAAACTTGAGAAAAAAACATTGTTTTATTTATACGTTGTGAACACTCCTTCAACCTAATGTTGATTTCCTTGAGTGGATTGACAAATAAATGTACCCGGTAGTCAGGTTTTAATGTACCGGTAATAGCCTATATAATTATATTGAAGAAAAAAACACAGTTACAGTTAGATATAATTATATTGAAGAAAAAAACACAGGGACAGTTACATATAATTGTATTGAAGAAAAAAACACAGTTACAGTTATACATATAATTGTATTGAAGAAAAAAACACAGTTACAGTTACATATAATTATATTGAAGAAAAAAAAAACCACAGTTACAGTTTTAATTGTTTGTTTTTCTGAATGTCCCACTTTTTTAGGCACACTCTATACAAAGACATAATAGCAAAGATGGTCCACAAAGATGTATTGTGATGACGTTATCACATGTGATGTGACGTCATCTAAAATGTGCATACATGTAATTATAAAGTCCTTTCTAGAGAACTATGTACAAGTCCAATTGGGTTGAAACTTGCTATGTACCTAGACAGGTTATTGTTATACATGTAGGTAAAAATTGAGATGACGCCATGATGATGTCACCGTGTGATTTTTATAACATAAAAATACGGTACACATGCATGTATGTGTGATTTTTTAACACATAAAAGAAGGTTCAATCGTCATAAAACTTGGTGGAATTCAGATAATGCTATCGCTATGGATGCAAAATTTGAAATGACATCAGATGAAGTCACCAGGTTGATTTTGAACTGATTGTTTTTATGAATTTTTTTAAGTTAAAAGTTTTTTTTTCACTTCCACTTCCCCTGCCATACTTTTAACAAGGGCTAGTCACCAGCAGTAGCAAGCACTGTGACTAATCCAACTGGGTCAATTAACAGACAAAACAGGCCAATGTGGTCGCAGCTGTTTTATCGCCCACCTGGAGTAGCTGTATCAAGTTACTTCATCAGTCCAAGGCAGTCAATCTTGCTTTATGTGGGCTGGGAATTCTTAAGGGTTGAAAACAGTCACTTGATTGATTTTGGCTGCAAAGACAATTTGGGACAGAATGTATGTTTGCACATGAGGGCTAAATTTGACATTTTCTTTCATCACATCGACTCCAAACTTGGCACAAAGATCACATACCGGTACACACGTACATGTAGTATTTGTGTGCGTTGAGAAGTGACACCATGATTATTTTATCAACATCATTTTGTTTGTCTTGTTTTTATTTTAAAATATTTTTGGCAATTTTGGGAATAATCTTCACTTAATCTGGCTAACAAAACATGCCAAAATCATCATGCCAAAAAATGTTTTTGTAACATGTTTTGTAGGTTGTGCTTATGAGCACAGGGTTGTTAAAAAACACGATATCATTATGATGTCATAAAAATGTAATATAGAATCAGGTCTACCGTACGTCATATGGTCGTGATCATTTACATAATTTGCATGTACCTGACTGCAAATGGATGAAAAAAGCACCAATAGAGAAAACTCAACATGTGGAAAAGCCCTATGATTTGTTTGTCGAACAGACATACATGTAGTTATACCAGTACCTCTAGTTTACGTATTTGTTTCTTTGTTTTGGTTCAGTCTCAGATGTCAGTTGTAAAAGATGGGTGATTCTACCGACAACATCCCTGTCATTGACTTCAGTGCCTTCAAGCTGTCACTGGACAAACCAGACTATGACAGCGAGGCTTTCAAGAAGTTGGTGCAAAGTGTCCATCATGCGTTGACGACCATTGGGTTCTTTTACATTGTCAATGCTGATTTCCCACCAGAGAAGGTGAGTACTGTGGAATGCATGCATGTGTTACTTCAGTGTATTTGTGGAGACTGTGAAGGAACTTTAAAGCTGGAGTCCATCATTTGCAGCTATCCAAAAAGTAACTGGCGTAATTCTTGTTGAAAAACATACTTGGTTGAAAGATAGTAAGGGGACTAAACTCCCTGTGAAATTGTTCTTTCTGGCAAGCTGTCATTTTGAAGTAATCAACGAAAGAAGGCCTTTCCAACGGTGCGTCTTAAGACGCGCGCGGTTGCTATAATTCGTCGGATCAGTGCGAGACATCGCGTATAGCTGCAATCGGCTCAGTGAGAACGTGTCTCGGACGCTGATTTCAGGCCCAATTCAAAACATGATTCAGCAACTTTTGATTTGAAATTGAGATCCTAGAATGCTGTTTTTCTCGGAATATACAGCTGAAGCTGAGCTGAAACTTCATCAGGTTAGTTGTTCAGTATCCTTCATTAGATTTTGAACACTTTTGTTGCTCCAAACGAACAAAATGCACAAATTACAAATGATGGACTATACACGTATGTTTAAGATGGTGCTATGTGGTATACAGTGAACACATACGCCCACAAGTAATTTGTTGTAGCTTGATTGATATAATCGTCCCATTTTTGGTTATGGTTTAAAATAATCAAATGGCTGATTGGCATTCCAGCATTGTTGCAGCAAGGCATTTGCTTTTGTTCTGATCTTTGGCTTTTTCACATACAGTTAAGAAAAAAAAAATTTTCATTCCATCCCTAATCCAAATGGATACACTTTTAATGAGTTTTAAATCTTTTCAGCATATTTCACAAACTAAACATGCTATACTTTTTGTTACACGTGTAGGTTTGTTAGGTCACATGGATGGAACTTTAATTTTGTAAACATTTAGCAATACTCATAAGCAGCGTTTAAACATTTAAACGTTGAGCCATTTCACAAAAACTGACGCCTGCCCCAATACGTTTGCACTCGGGCGTGTTTTATGCATGTACATGTACATGTATACCTGTACGCGCATCGATCCCATTCTAGAGATCGTTACATGTACATGGACTGTCATTTCGCGTGTGTAACAATTACGTACACATTTGATGGATCTATCCAATAAACGGAGAATGATGTCATCAAAAATGCCGTTTTTAAAACACCTAAGACAAGGTCTGTTCGTCATGAAACTTGCTGAGTACATACATGTAGAATAATTTGTTAATATGTAATATATACAAAGAGGCGTGGTGACGACATCATCAAAAAGCAGGAAAATACTGAGAGTGTTATTACATGTGCCGTACGTTGATGATTTGTTAACCTATTTTGATGATATAGTCAGATATTTAAGTTAATAACTCTGTAGTTGGAATCTGAATTAAATCAACTGTTAAAAAGAAGAGATGTTAAAATGAAAAGAAAATTAACGTAATTGTTATATCGTGTGCTTTTATACTGCAATTTCATTGGTCTAGAACAGCCACATGTCCAGTCTGTAAAAACAAGTGTTCACTTCATACATGTACATGTATGCGTTTCATAAAGTACCTCTGCTTTGCATAGTAAGTTTTGTAACACCTCACCCACAGATTCTGTATCTTGATTGGCCGACAGCGAGTCACATGATACTTTCTATTTTTGCTATCTTTCTGTGCACGGCCAAAAGTACTATACCATTAGCAACCAAAGTACTATATCCACTGCGCGGTATTTGTGTGCAAATGCATGCTGGTGTGCGCATTGCGCGTAGCGCGTTTTGTTCCAAAAGAGAGCTCGCCACAGAGTTGGGTTCAAACATTTCGTGAAGGGGTAGTTTGGAAGAGAGAAATACATTTTCCACCAATTTTGTATTGAAATTGAAGTTTATTTCAACTGTGTTCAGATTTAAATAATTTAAAATTTTTAAACCAAGCAGAATCTGTGGGTGAAGTGTTAGAAGACAAATATTGAATGCTTTGTCTCGTGGTGAAGTAAAACTAGCCTCCCTCGGTGATCCATGGAGCATTCTATTATCCCTCGGCTTCGCCTCGGGAAAATAGAATGTCCATGGATAACCTCGGGAGGTTAGTTTTATACACCACTCGAAGCATTCAATATTTGTGTAACATCCCTCTATTTTTTTTTCACTAATTGGCACAACATAAAACAGTTGTTGACTGCTGTGATGTGGGATATGTCGCCGTGTGTGCTATGTGCCCCTCATTTAAAACGCCATATTCCAGATTGCCGCAGTCAACACTTGTTAAATGTTATCAACAGCTGGAGCGCATGTGGAAGGTTTCCAAGGACTTCTTTCATCTGCCAGCTGAGATCAAGAACAAGTACCCCCGCAACCCCAAGGAGAATCATGGCTACGTCCATATGGAACGAGAGAAGTAAGTATCAGGCGGGGCTGAAATTATACATATGTACATGTATATATTCAGACATTAGGCCAAAAAAAAGAATAGTTCTGCTTCCGATTACATGCCTTTCAAAAATAGGGTCGGTCGGTCGGAAATTTTTTTTTTTTTGCCAATTTTTTTATGCAGATTGAATGGGGTATTCAATTATATGCGAAGTTTTAGCCTGAACTATTTCCATTGCACTACAAAAGCTATACACAAAATGGCCACAAAAAGTGAATAAAACCTACCTTAATTATTGTCAATATATTTACGTTCGATAATTCGTAAAAAAAATTGTGGGAAATTCAGGTCGTTCGCACCATAGGCACAACGCTAGTCAAGAAGGGGAGCTGGCCAAAACTCCGAAGTGTGTGATGCACTGTACATGTACATGTGTGGCCCGCGGCCAACGGGTCGAACATTTCAGGAAACACGCTGCATTGTATCACTCAAAATACGAGTAGTGCGATCTCAAAATGAACTCTTGAACACGGAAAATACATACACAGACAAGCTAGATCAAATCTGTGATTTAACTTGCAAAAATGTTCTTTCTCTATCGGTGTTTTCTTGGCATTTTTACGATGTCTTTCTCAGCATTTTTACGATGTCGAGTCCAACCAGTTAACAGAGCACGTGCCTGCGCCTGCATAGCCATGCTTGTGCTAACGATCGCATAGCCGTGCACAGACTAGTTACCGCATTTTCATAATTGGCCCCTGCGCGGCGCGGCGGGAACCAGTCGTCGCCGCATTGCGCTTATTACGCACGTGATTACAGACATCGAATTGCGAAGTAGTTGAATCACGCAGCGAATTTGTAAAAATAACGGAGGTTTCTTTTGAAAAAATAGCGAATGTAAGTAAGAAAACAATAAATACAAGCATTTTTTTATGCAAAAGGGTTGTTGAGGGGTATTTTGTGAAGACAGACAAGACATAAGGTTTTTATTTTTATTTATTCAATCTTTTTTTTTTTTTTTTTTTTGGAATTGCCTATAAAATTTTTAGGGTCGCAGCCTAAAAATAGGGTCGGTCGGGTAACCGGAAGCAGAACTATTCTTTTTTTTTGGCCTTAGACATATGTGACTGTTCATGAAATATGTAAATTTAAACAATCAAAAACAGACATAATAATAATACTTATTACCCTGGATTGGACATATGGGAGACATCCCCATAGACTTGTGCACACATTTTTTCAAACTTTCTATGTGCCCTAACCCAATATTCCCTTGTCCTTTTTCCACGAATTTTGGTATGTTTACTAATTAGACCACAGGCAACAATAACCTAATTGCGACAGTGAAATTGTGTTTCTTAAGGGGGGCTGCGACATTAGGGAGACATGAAAATGTTTCCCTAGTGGCCGATGTCTCCCATCATGCGAAGAAATTACGATAACGTGTCTCCTTAGTGGTACCATTACACGTATATACATGTAACTGGATTTATAGAATGCCAAATTGCCAAAGGATACAAGGCACTTACATGTATTATTACCCTGCTCATTGGGCCAATGAAATATTCCAAATACCATCTCAGCTCCCTGGGGAGTATACAGCTCTATGCTGCCATTTTGGCGCAAAGCAGCTAAATCAATCACAATAACCATCTCTGCCATCACAGGTAACCATTTACTCCTGGGTGGAGAGAAGCAATGCTTGACAAAGTGCCTTGCCCAAGGGCACACGCACCATAGCCGCAGGCTGGACTCGAACCCACAACCCGCGGAATTACCCGCAGACCATGAACTCAGTGCTCCAAACCACGAGGCCACAGCTCTCTAAACTTGCTTTAATACTAATAATATCTGGCTTTTAAGGAAGATCAAAGCGCATTTCATTATTTTTACCCCTGATCAATAGGCCAATGAAACATTCCAAATACATACATGTACAATCTCAGCTCCCTGGGAATTGTACAGCTCCATGCAGCCATTGCAGCACAAAGCAGCTAAAATTAATGACAACAACCACCTCTGTCCTCACCGTACCCATTTACTCCTTAGTGCTTTGCCAAATTGTATACTTTTACAAGTACATGTACATGGGTACAAGTGTAGGCCTAGGCCTGTACTTTGTTAATGAAGGTATTTGACACTCGTCATATAACTGCTCAAAAAAAGACTGCACCAGTTCAGTTTGTTGGAGCACATTGAGTGCCCTCTTTCACCCCTTGTTATAATGGTGATACAACATGTTCTTTGTATTGAAACAATTCACACAAAAATACTATGATTCACAGTGAATTGTGGGGAATAGTTGGGAAGTGCTGTGTTCATACTGCCTGTTAATTTGCTAAACACTGTATCAAATCTCCTTTTGGTAATTTTTAGACTGAATCCTGACCGTCCTCATGGTGACCTCAAAGAACTCTTCAACTATCACCCAATGACAGCAGAGGATGTAAGTATTTGCGTGCTGTATTGCAACTGTTTGTCCGAGAACATATCAGTTACACCTCACCATGGACAGATCCATAACCAATATTTTTTTTGGGGGGGGGGGAGGGGGGAGGGGGGGGGGGGGGAAGAGGGCTTGACTCATTTTGTTTCAAAAAGGGGAAGCTTTGGGATTAAGGAGTACCATGCGCAATTTCCACGTTGTAATATTAAAACTAAAAGGTATGTGTAGCTGATGGCTTGCGAGGGAGATACCAGTATGCGAAACGTTTTAAATTATGTCCTGAAACATTTAAAACAAAAACGGTGTCTTCACTTCTCGATTAAAAAAGAAATCGTTGGGGAAGGGGGCATGGCCAGTTGACATAGATGTCCTTATGGGCCTTACGCACGAGTTGGCCATTTTGGTTGAGTTCCCTGAACATATTTCTTCAAGTGTTGGCTGTTCAATGGGATGGCGCCAGACTATTTATGCAGGCACAATGCATTGCAGCATTATTTTCAGTGTTGTAGTCGAGTACTTTTTTTCCGAGTACCGAGTACTGCTGAGTTAGTCCGAAAATTTGGGACTCTCAATACTGTGTATGAGAGTCCCAAAACTTAAGGTATCCATATCGTGCAAATGTTTGTGCTGCATAATAAAACCAGTGTGAATCAAATTTGCAAGCTTCTTACTCACTACAGTTTCTTCAATAATCCCCGAAACTTTTGCCTCGCTAAGTTGCTGTTGTGAGCATTGCATCACAAAAAATTCAGCTTTTAATTCTAATTTTGCAGAGAGTTATCGAAATCCATACGTGAGACATCACGTTGATGTGTACTGCAATGCATTGTGCAAAAAGACTCCTCAGCTATAACATTTTCATCGTGTAGATAAAACAGCGCCCTCTTGTTGATCTGAGTGAATGCAAAATGTTTCATTTTTTAACAGAGGGAGCTATGTTCATTTGGCCATCGATTAAAAAACAAGTAAGCTGCAAGGCTCTACCTACACCTACCCAGAATATATTGGGAATCACACACACATTTCCAGAGCATGGAGATTGACGTGGATGGTTTTTGAACTGCCAAAAACTTGCCTTAAAATTGGATTTAAGGTCTCAAATTTCGCAGGTGACATGCTTGCAACTATATCATTTTGATGTATGTGTTGTGTGGGCATTAATTAGCCTAATGGTGAGTGTAAAAACGTCAGTAGTAATTTTGCACTTTTTATCCACTCACGGTCCCAGTCTGCTGCTGAGTACCTCGGTAGCCGAGTACAAGAACATGTCTCCGAGTACGAGTACTTGAACGTCCAAGTACGAGTACGAGTACTTCCACTTCCGAGTACGAGTACGGGTACAAGTACTTGTATTCCAAGTACGAGTACAAGTGCAAGTGACTAAAAGACCAAATGCATCTTTATGTTTATGATCGGTAGATGGCAAGTTTGGGGCTAGGCAAGGATTTATCGGTCTACTGAGTTTTTATGAGGAAAAACCTGCAGAGGGTAAAACATGAATAGCTTTTTTATTAAAACGAAACTACACCGGAATTGGCGTAAAGCTTGACTAGTTTCAATGAAAGTCCGTCCCACTCCTATTAGGTTGGGGATGTGTGTTTGAAGCTTGCTATTTGTTGAGTACAGAATTAATGCTAGCAACGTTCAGGGGAAAGGTATGAATACATGTATTTGCCCTATTGAAAGATCGAATGAAAAAAATCCTGGCAAGAAGAATCAACTTTGCCACCATTCAGAGATGAAACTTTTCCGATTTTAATCGGAAAACCGACTTTTTGAATTTTCCAACGTGTGTCAGTGTGTCCCACAAAATTTGATTTTGTAAGGATTTTTCTCACAAAATGTCATTTTATTTCAATCATAATTTCGAAGAAAAGTCGATGGAAATGGCACGTTAAAATCATCGCGAACGTAGTTTTCATCTCTTTCACCAGTCGTTATTGGAGTGTTTCAACGGTAGAAACACAGGGCATAACACTGACCAGAGCCTTCTCCGGCTGGACAAAAGGTTAAACATTGACAGGTGACATGGAAAAATCACTGTGGCGCACGTGCGTGCGAATATGCAATGGTACCAGCGTACGTACCGCACCGTACCGTCCGGCGCTAGCACATGGCCGGTCGGGAACGGGTAGCCTTGTGAACGATCCAGTGGATAAAATCATTATGTTGTGCGATTTTCTGAGGTTTCAAATTTAGTTATACAAAATGCAATGTTTTAAAAATCGTGTTGATTTTCTCGAGGATAGCGAAGAGAGCATTAGCGAAACATTTCACTGGCATTTGTTAGAAGAGAAAGACGATTATACCTGATTTTTCCCCACGAAGTGGAATAGTGGAGTTGTGTGGTTGAATGGATATGATTGAAGCACACCATGAATGGTGCCCTTGTCTTTCAGACTTTTTCCTCGACTTTCTCAAGTAAGAAGTGAACTTCTTTATTGATGGCTCCATTACTCTAACTGTAATTCGGGCATTTTATGCAATGAAAACACTGACCATTATTTTCATCGTAAAATTTTGTTTGAATCGAAAATAAAGCAGGAGTAGGTGTCCGGAAATTGGGCATGAAGTGTATTGTACATGCATGTACATGTGTGTAATGCAGCGCGGCCCAGATTTCGGACATGTATTTTTCTTCGACATATTTTCCGATTTTTTGGCCATATGCCAGTTTCATCTCTGCACCATTTTCATGGCCGAGGTTATTGCTTTCGGGTCAAAGCTTCCATCATGGCGGAAATATCATACACATGTCATGATTTTAGATACCTTGAGAGAAATATCGATTCTGCACTGCCTGAAGATTTAGAAAATACCTCCTCTTGATATTTTACAGTGTTTGTGCTAGACTTTCGAAGCGCCGCGCTTAGCCGCGGCAACACTAGAAACGAACAAAACGAAGGAGATACGGTATTTGTAGAGCAAGCATATGCCCATTCATAGGCCTCTGTTTAAGACTAGGCTGCTGTTGACCTGCTGCCGTGACCAGACTAGGGGCCGTTTTTTAAACCTCGGTTTCGGCTGTGTCTCTTTCTCCATTCATGCAGATTGGCAATGGGGCTGGACCTGTATTATACAATGTACCGGGTAGTACCGAATCCGAGGTTCAGAAAACGGCTTTGCTCCAATCACCCAAGTTAATCGTACAACCATTTTGATGAACACCTCAGCGTACAGTGGGTACAATGATTGGCCATTGTGCAAACATACGGCAAATGGGTCATTGTGCGTATTTGGCCCAGGCCCAGTCAGACCTACAAACAGACCCACAAACAGACCTACAAACAGACCCAGTCACGGCTAGCTGTTAATTGTGTTTGTCCGGACTTGCGTAGAGTAAAGAAAATTTCGATTTCTCTGCAATCGACCATTTGAAACTGAAAGTATCGATCAAATAATGCCGTGGTAACGTAAGTGATATACTGCATTTTTTTTATCGAGTTTTGCTATTCGAGTATGAGTACTTTGTTTTATCGAGTACTGTTATTCGAGTACGAGTACTTTGATGATCGAGTACAATTTCGTCATGTGCGAGTACGAGTACTTTGCCATTCGAGTACGAGTACCGTCATATTGAGTACAAGTACTTTGACATTCGAGTACGAGTATGAGTACAAGTACTCCAAAAAGGTACTCGAGGAGTACGAGTACCGAGTACGAGTACTACAATGTAATTATTTTACTGTTTTGTTTTTTTATCTGGCTTTAAACATTAGGGAATTTGTAATTACATAGTTAAAATTATTCATTGAAGCAGACTGTAATTAATTAGGAATTAACTTGCTTCCATTTCTCTTCGCAAGTTCGACAAATCACTTCCAGTTCAATGGCCAACTTGTGAATATGTCCCATAGGCCCTGCTAATGTTGGCCATTTTTTATAGTTAGTATTACACCCAGATGTGGGTATTCCTTTGTTTCAGCCAATTGTGTATTATTTTGGGTGTATGTGTAATTATGAAGTGATCTTTAATGGGCCTCTTTGAGGACGTAGCATTTTTGGGGATTAAAGGGAATATACATCATTTGCTTTTGCTGTAATTTTCAGAAATGGATGGAATTGGGGGTTGGAAATATATAGCAAATATAGTTACACTTACTTTTTTTAGGTTTTGGGTTCGAAAATGCTATAAAAACCAAGAAAAACAATCATTTTTCCTGTAGTCTGGTTCCCTGACTCCATATAAGAAGAAACAGAGCAGTTTACATACATTGGGAAATTGTAAGGTCAGGGAACCAGTCTAGCTGGCTTGTACCCGTTCATAGGTGTGTAATCGATTGCAAACAAGTGCGATGGTCAATTGGGGCCAGTATTTGAAAAAAAGCCAGTTTTTTCCAACGCTGGTCGGCCGACCAGCGTTGGAAATTGATACAAAAATACCACTTTTCTTGAAAATGACAGTATACCAGGTGCCATGATTTTACAGGATGCTTTACACTGTCATTCACTAACAGTCCAGCAAGGTATTTCAAAATGATTTGGTAGTTTTATTTTTTGATGTTTGCAAATGTTGTATTTTCCCTTTAAATTCCATTTGCCACTTTGACTGCCACACAGTGAGAGCATCTAAGTCTTGTTGTAGTTTGCCAGCATCTTCTGATCCGGCTATCATAAACAATACAATCCTCTGCAAACAGTTTCACACTAGATGTTAAGTTCTGTGGCAGATCATTTAGGAACACTAGGAAATCCAGTGGCCCAGTGACCATACCCTGGGGAACGCTGGATTCAACATTCACCCATTCAGAGCATTTGCCATCTATTACCACTCGTTGTTTTCTGTGGGTGAGAAATGCTTCCGTCAATCTGAGTGCTTTTCAACGTATTCCATAACGAGCCATTGCAAGAAAGAGCCTTTGGTGTGGTCAAACGCTTCCACGAAGCCCATAATAATCATGTTGACCGGTTGTTTTTGGTCCAGATGAGAAGCTGCATAATGAATGGTGTTGATGAGCTGTGTCTCACATGAGTGGTTTCGACAAAATCCGTGTTGATTTTCAGACAATATGTTGTTTTGATCCAGATTTTTCATTAAGTTGGATTTAAGAATGAGTTCAAAGATCGTATAGCAAACAGACTTGAGGTTAATCAACCTATAGTTTGATGGAATCAATCGGTCTCCTTTTTTAAAAATGGCGTGATGTTTGTTAGCAACCAGTCTGTCGGAACAACACCTGTGTCCAATGACAGTTGAAATTCCACTGACAGTTGGAATATGTTTTTTTTTTTCATATATTGCACTTCTTCTTCATCCAAGGTTTCCAAACTGCTGTAGCTGTTTTGCAAGAACTATGGTGCCAGTATTGAATAGGCTACTGTCAAAATTTGGCATATTACAATTCCAGCATATCCAAATCATATTTGTGATAACCAAGTCATATTGCCTTTGACGAAGATTCGTTGACAAAGATACGGCTAGGGTTGAAACATGAGGCCCACTAACTTTGTTGATATGTATACAGAGTGAGTCAAAAATAACGAAACCCAAATGTCGGGACCATTGTTTTAGTGAAGTTCTGCATGTAGCACTTTCAAAATTTAGGATATAAAAACCCAATTCATAAGCTTTGTTTTAGTACAAGAATCATTCAAATCACTCATGTGCTTTTCAAGTTAGAGGATTTTCAACACAACCACCGTTTTTCTGTTCTGTCCACGGATCACAAGAAGGTAAGTGTTCTTTCAGCAAAACGACAACAAATCACATAGGGATGTGTGTGAATTGTTTTCGTTTTGCTAAAGCAACGCACACCTTTTTTGTGATTCGTGGACTGAACTTTAAAACGGTGGTTGTGTTTTAAATTCCGTAACTTGAAAAGCACATGAGTGATTTGAATGATTCTTGTACTAAAACAAAGCTTATGAATTGGGTTTTCATATGCTAGATTTTGAAAGTGCTACATGCACAAATTCCCTAAAATAATAGTCCCGACATTTAGGTTTTTTTTTTTTTTTTTTACTGTATTACAGTATTTTAGGTCAATCCAGTCAGTGAGCAGTTTGCAGCAGTTTTACATGTATTCATTTTCATACAAACAAATAACCCCAGAACTTATTTGTATATTTTTATTGGTTTTTTTTTGTTTTCAATTTAGAGTCTTTGGCCAACTGAAACAGAATGTCCAAACTTTAAGTCAGTACTATCAGACTTTTGGGATCCTTGCCTGGCACTGCATCAGAGAGTGCTGGAGGTCATGGGTCATGGTCTGCAACTTGAGGTTTGTGGTCCCATCCGTATAAAATGGGGATTTCATTTGTTCATTTCATGGTTCTTTTTTTGGCTAATTTCAGTCAGGTGGATTGCGATTACTAGTTTATTTAAATGTTGTAGTTTATTTGATTTATTTCTGGTAATGAAACCAAGGATTCCTCAAAAGTGCGCTAGGCACTGCAGCTCGAAACCCTGAAGAAACCTGTTGAGAGAAGACAATGAGAAGAAATTACAGTTTTACAGGTGGGAAGAAAATCCCAGGAGAATATTCTGAGGGAAAAACCAGGCAGTCAGTTAGGAACTGAAAAACCAATCCACATGTGGTCTGGACTGGAATCGAACCCGGACCACAGCGGTGGAAGGCTACGCCAACCTGACTCTCCGATACACACATGAACCCTAACTCCCCAGCCTAATTTACTAGGAACCATACCCGTCCTGGCACATTCCAACACCCACATGGGAATTTGTACACAAACACTGTTGGACTTTAGTTTCTGGAGGTATGCCAACCCCAGTGAGGAGGAGAGTGGGAGTGGAGGGGATCGGCATCGTATTGAGGAGGCACAGGCTGAGGTGGTTTGGTCATGTGGAGAGAAAGGAGGATGTCAACTGGGTCAAGAGGTGTACCAACGTAATTGTGGGTGGGCCCACACCCGTCGGCCGACCGCGCAAGACTTGGCAGAGCTCCGTGTCAGATGACATGCGACTGCTTGGAGTCAATGCGAGGGATGCGATGGACAGGGCCAAGTGGAGGAGAGCCATAGGGAGAAAGCAGACCAACCCAGAACAGACTGGACAACGGCCTTAAAACCGACATGATGATGATGAGTGTAAAAGACCATCAGTTTAGGGGTACTGTACCTATCCCAACAGATTTAAACAAAACCTGCTGTTGAACTTTGATGGGTTGAGTTCGGTTAGGGTTTAGAGACATTCTAGAACATTTGTTGGGTACCTTCATGTAGTTTTTACAAAGGTCTTTTTCCTTCTGTCTGCAGGATCCCCTATTGTTTGTGAAGCACCACGTCAAGTCTTATGAGAACAGCGGCACCACGCTGCGCACCTTGTACTATCCCGCCTTCAAAGATGTGACCGTGAAGGAGGAGCAGGCACGCTGTGGAGAACATTCAGACTATGGTGGCATCACTTTACTCTTCCAGGAAAGGCCAGGACTAGAGGTGTGTCAATAATGCAGGGATGTTCGAGAGAGGGCGGGATTCCAATCCTGTCCTTTTTTGCTGGTCCGAGAGAGGGCCAGTTGATAGTCCCCTTCATACATGACTGACTCACTGACTGATTGTCACTTGTGAATTAGACTAGTAACCTATCTGGCTGGCTGACTGACTGTCCATTGTAGGGCTGTCCATTTTTGAGTAGTTTAGTATTCGATTACTTAAAACTGTATTTAATAATAATAATACCGAAGTCTTATATAGCGCACCTATCTACTAACAATTAGGTACTCAAGGCACTGGAAATTATGTCTATTATTAGAGACAGGTAAATGAAGTACATGAGAAATATGAGAACCATTATGTAGCACCTTTATAATGGGTTACAAGGTGCTGCGGCGCATTAAGCAGCCACTGCCAGAAACACCGGGGCAAATCCCTTCTCTTAGCGATAAGTGTAACTGGGTTTTTTAACGTGCATTACACAACGCACGGGACCTACGGCTTCACGTCCCATCCGAAGGACAAAGCAATAATGGTAAAGCGCCTTGCTCAGGAGCGCAAGCACCATGTTCCCACGGTCAGGATTCGAACCCATGTACCACGGCACACGAGTCGAACACCATAAATTTAACCGAATATTCGGATATTCAAAACTGCCAGCTGCAACTGCGTGCCATGGCGATCAAACATTGCACGCAACATTGCATGCCCTTTGTCACTCATTGCTTCTCTCCGCCCAGGAGTAAATGAGTACCTGTAAGGGCAGTGTTGGTGACTGTGAGAGGTTGATTACGGCCAAGAGTGCCGAAATGGCTGCCTACCGGCCGTGTATGCTCCCCACGGAGTGGAGAAGGTTCTAGGAGTGTTTGCCCATTGAAACAGGGGAAAAAATAATTGTGAAGCGATTGGATACTCCATTGCGGCTTAAAAGCGCTATAAAATAACATCACAGGTGTGTGTGTACCTGCAAACTTTTTGGGATTTTGAATATTCGCACACAGGGGTGGATCCAGGAATTTTCGCAGGGTGCGGTTTTTATCAGCAAAAAAATCTGAAATGTAGACACATTTTTTTCTCTGGACACAGCCTTCCGTAAAATCAAAAAGGGGGGGGGGGGGGGTCAAATCCGACAATTATTAACGCAATATCACAGAACAATGTACATACGTGTATACCACTTTAACAAGCTGGCTCTGTACGTATTTTGTTTAATAATGTAGGCGTCTTTACCACTATTAAAACTACCAAGCTTGCTGTGGTCAGCAGACGGTTAAAATACAGGTTTTTGTAGACCAGTCTGGTTTATCTTTGATTAGGTACGGACCCGCAAAGGTGACTTCATGCAAGCGCAGATGGTAGAGGGCGGTATTCTGGTGAATATTGGTGACCTTATGCAGAGATGGACTGCAGACAAATACCTGGCTGTGGTGAGTAAACAAAGAAAAGTTGTCATTTTCAGAATGTTCTGGTTTAGCTAGCAAAGAATCTTCGATTTACTGTGAGCAGAGACATGGAATTGAGCCCTGATGTCATGACACCAGTGACTGACTATACTTCTCTCCTAGAAACACCGCGTGCTTCTGGACACGACATCAGAGGAGAGTGTCAAGCCTCGCCAGTCCATCGCGTTCTTTGGCCATCCAGACTACGACGCCCTCATCGAATGCATTGACGGCAGCAACAAATATGCACCTGTCAACAGCTTGGATTACATAAACATGAGGTTTGGTTTAACATACTAGTGTCTGGACCAATGGGATCGAAGGTTGCACCAAGGTCACGTGGTTACTTAGGCCTCTTCCATATTCATATTTTGATTCTCTAGCTGGTCTTCATGTCTGACATGCTAGTAACCAAACAAAAGGTACTGCCAAGGTCATGTGATGATCTTGGCTGCTTCCGTATTCATATTTTGATTCCATGGTTTTCATGTCTGACATGCTAATAACCATTCATAAATACCTCAGACAGTTTAGCTATTCCTATTGGTCGAGAGCCCGTCACGTGGCCGGTCTTGAACTGATGATAAAGACATGGCTAGCTGGTCTTAAACACTTTTCCAGTGTCACAATAAAATGTGGACTCCTAAAAATCCAGTGCCTCTTACCGTTTCATTGGTTGAACGTTCACAATCCTCACGTAGGCATGCGCAACACTACAAGCGAGTCAGAATTTTATAGTTCTAAATTCAAAACGCAACGCCCCAGGTGCGTTCTGCGTGACATCGCGCAGAACATGTTACGCGCGCGTCAATCTCCATAAAAGGGTTGTTTACATCTTACTCGCCAGCTGAACACTCCATTATTTTGCTAGAGGGATGTTTCTAAAAGCATGAAGTGAACTTGTTGAACAAAATCGGGATTTTTTGAACGAATTATTTGATATTTTTTTACGGATAAGGTATTTATGAATGGGAATAAATATGTGCTCGGTCGGTATTTATCACTCTGTTTAATACCGCTTAGAGTCTGGGTGCTGATAATTACCCGAGCCTCCGGCTCGGGTAATTATCAGCACCCAGACTCTAAGCGGTATTAAACGAGTGTTAAAAACCTCCGGAGCACACATTTATTCCCTTAATCAAATGGTTTAATCAAGGTCACGTGATGACTTTGGCCTCTTCCATATTCATATTTTGATTCCATGGTCTTCATGTCTAACATGCTAGTAACCAATCAAATGGTACCACCAAGGTCATGTGATGACTCTTTTAATATGCATAATACAGTAATTACCTGTTTTCTTGCAGCACAAATAGCAAATCAGATTTGCAAAGTTTACTTATGAGAATGCACTCAAAGCGTGTGGCATATCACAACAGACAAAAATTGTTTTATTACAAATTTTATTTTTCGAATCTCTAAGACATTTTAAGAACTTTTTTCGTTGCCACCCACCTATGCACTTCGGCTTAGAAGTCCAGTGTTTTGGACATTTATGTGCACGCTTCTACACCGACAGACTTACTCATAGTTGCAGTATGTAGAGCACACGCATGGTCTGTTTTAATTATGACAGTGTTCCCGTGGCCTTGAAAATAATTTGAAAAAGTCATGGAATTTTATTTTCAATTTCCAGGCCTGGAAAAGTCAAGGACATTTGTGTAAATGACAAAAGTCATGGAAAAGCCAATTTAGTTTAAATTTTTAACTTTTGTATATATGCAAACCTTAGCATCGGAAATCTGATTTATATACCTGACAAAATGCAACAAATTTCGCTGATACAACATGTACAAGCATTGATTTCAAAAGACATTTACTGCCTTATTTTGTTGTTTTTCTGTTTCTGTTAAGCAGTTTTCACAGAACAAGTTTTACAGTTTTGATCTGCATTTTGAAGAACTAGGTCATGGATTTTCATAATTTGGTCATGGAAAAGTTGTGGAATTTTATTGTCCTAAAGGTGCTGTTATGTTTTATTAAGCAGCAGCAGCAGTGATTTTCAAAAGGTCATGGGATATCTTACGAGTTGATCTTGCAAGGGTACATGACATCTGGCTTTTATGTGATCATCTGGTAGTCACACTTGAACTTCTCAAATGTGTCTGAGAAACAGGTCGCAATTTTGTTGCTTTGTTAATGCTAACCATGACATTCTCCGCTTAAGAGTGATGTGCTTAACCAGTTCACGCCGGGATTATTTGGACAAGAACTGAACGAGGCGCGGATATGTTTTCACTCGACCTCAAGCCAGGAAGGGTTGAAGCCATCACCCTCGGGCAGCACACTCATATTTCCGGCCTCACTCGCTGCGAGCGGGTCGCTGACAGATATTTTCCGGCCTCGCTCCCTGCGTGTTTATCCGTCATCCATTCCGAATACCATAAAACCTTTATAGGTATACACGTAACCAGCGGGAACTGGTTAAAAGGCTTTATTCATCCCAAATGCAAAGGTACACTACACTTTCAATTGCACTACCTGATATGCAGATATAACACTCAACTTATTTGTATAATTTCCCCAAAACCTGTTTTATTGTTGTTTTCTTGCTTTCTTAAAATTTATCGATTTTTATTTGTTTCTTTTTGGGGTAGGGGCTAACTCTACCTAGCATGAAATTGAATATATAGTGTTATTATATTTGAAATAGTACACTAAAATATGTCTTTATGGTATGTTGTATACGCAAATAATAACAGACTTACTATAAAGGGCTGTTGAAAATCTTAAAGAAAATTTTCATGAGATTAAGTTTTTTATTATCAATTTTATTTACCCTGAGTTTCTTTCCAAAGACCACCGAAATATTATTGAACAGTACTGATGATATTTTAAGGTGAAATTTGAGTTTAATCGACCCGTATTTGTTTCATTGTTGGCGTATTTTTACAAGGTTTGTTTTTAAATGTGTTTGTGTGGTAATTGACAACTCGGTACTTTCATTGGCTTTCTAGACATTTGCAAAGTTCGCACTGTAAATAATTCAAGTAAAGATGAAATTATGCACTGCCATCCACCATGCTTTGCAAGTGAGGTGCACCGCAGTTTAAAAGCTTTGTAAAAAAAAAAACATATTATTGAAAATCATTTATTCATGTTGCTTGTCACATTGTCATATCATATATGAATTTGTTATTGAAATATAATTTTGTTGCAATTTTTGGAATGGCTTTAATGTCTTTGATAAAAGTAAGTGAAAACGATATTAATGGACGTTTTGTCTACTTTATTTAACAAGTTCCAGATGTCATTATTTCAGATTTTGATTTTATTGAAATTATTTGTTTTCATGTCATAATGTTTGTTGGAATTTCATTGTACCATCTATCTAATTTTCATCCATTTTTTTTTTCATTTTCTCATTGCATTTTTTTATAATCTGGGAAAAATATTGAAGTTTTCTGTAGTGCTAGCTGCATCCGAACCCAACCTAAATTCGCTGAGCGTACGGCACTTCCGAACTAAACCGAACCGAACCGACCGAACTCAGTTGTTCAGTTTGGATGTTCAGAAACAATTAATTTTGTAGCGCCGCATATTGCAACTATAAACTCATCAAAATTTACTTAGTATGTTTTAAAAGAAAACGATTTTTTAGGCTGACGGTGAAAATGAAAGGAAATTCGCGTAGAGCCTATGTACGTGCACATACATTAGCGCACACGTAATCTATTTCACCAGAATTAATTTCCTGGGCTGAAATTCGGACTTACTATCCCTCACCGTACTTCGATTTGCTACAGATGTCTAGTTCGTGATAACCTTGTGGATACGAATTCACCTGATACGGAAATTGCCATGTGGAGACGTATACAATCTTGTGTTCCCTGTTACGCCAATGTCTCCACAGGGTACCGTGTATCAGATCATGTAACAAAGAAATGCCTCCACAAGGATACAAAACGGGAGAACAATCATTTTTTTCGAGTCGGGTCAAGTCGTGTATGCGTGGTGACTGGTGGACTGAGCAACCACCACGGGCACGAACTGGCGCCAATAGATCGGGGCGGAGTTATGGTCAGTTTTCCATCAGTTGCTATGTGTTTACGAATCAGCACTGCAGACTCGAGAACCATCGAGTTTCAATTTAGAACATACAGGTCTGGGAGCTAGAAAGCAATTTAGAAAAAAATCCGGATGTCCGCACAGTCGCCTATTCTGAAAAAGTTGCGCCACTTAAACGTTAATTATGAATCCGAGTTTCAGTGCTTGATATACATCTAAAAAGGCTATGAAAACAGAAGGAAAACATTGTCTACAGAAAAGAAAAGTTCCAGTTTTGTGAAATGTAATCGCTAAAATCTACAGATTTAGATCGTTTTTAATAACATTTCTCACGCTGTTGTTGCCGAGAAAGCACGATACCCAACAAAATACAGTGGGTCAAAAACCCAAAAGTGAGTAAAAACTAGCAAGTGTAGGAGGTTTAAGCAAAAAAGTAAAAGCATTTACTTTGCAGTAAAAGCATTAAGGACAAGCAAATGCTTGATTCTAATTTCTATTCCGTATGAATAAAAGTTTTCCTTTACTGTTCAGCATTTACTAGACAACATAGCAAATGCTTGTTACTGTTGGATTGTTTTCATGGTCGAATGGTGTTCTTAATGATGACAGCTCATAACTTTGATCATAAAAAAAAAATTTGGCTTTTTTACTTCAAATTTACAGAATAAGGAAACAATGTCATTATAGTTAAGGAAAACTAAACCCAACTTTGACATGTACACCAACATTAAAATAAACAATTGCAGTCCGTTTAAATTATTATTTTGTATTTCAGGGGAACTTTATTTTCATTTTTTCTTACTAATTGATCTAGTCCTACTTACAATTTTAAATATGTTTTGATAAGATGCAGAACTTAATGCTTTGGTGCTTTTCTGGTAATGAAAAAAATCTAAATCCCATTGGTTCTGTGCCAAATGGCATCATTAAAATAACAAATGGACGTAGCCTACTCGTACAATTTTCAAAAGGGGATGTTCATGTATTAGAGAGAGCAAAAATAAGAAATACTACAGAGAGCTGACAAACAATTATAACCGGAACAGTTGCGCGCAAGAAATCACCGTTCTTATATAAGAAGGGTGCAAGAAATCACCCTTCTTATATAAGAAGGGTGCAAGAAATCACCCTTCTTATATAAGAAGGGTGATTTCTTGCGCGCAACTGTTCCGGTTATAATTGTTTGTCAGCTCTCTGTAGTATTTCTTATTTTTGCTCTCTCAATATTCGCATGTCTCTTTCACCGTTGCATTTGCATGAGTCATTATATGGCCTTTTGCCCAATGGTTTCACCCGATACTAGTGTCGCTGGACGATGGGCATTTAAAAATAGTTGTCTGACGTAGGCTTACATACGATTTCTGTTATTACCTTCGCCATCAAAGAGCTATGGACGAATTTGCTTTAAAACATTTTTAAGGGTTGGTCTTAGTACAAGTACAAATCGATTAGATTGTGGAAGTGATCCAGATCTGGGTCTGGAACCAGGATTTATTTTTATTAAGGATTCTTCACCATTTATGATATTTCTCTTTGGTGTACTGACAATATGGCGGGAATTAATTGTTTAGCCTTGGCGGAGGTATGCACTCGCTGAGTGCTTTCTTGTTACTGTATGAT